TCCGAAGGGTGGTGATAGCTTGAAATTGTTCATGAGTCGGCCCACTCGGAGGAGGGGTTTCATCAATCACATGCATTCCTCTAGGATTTTCAAATGGTTGAGCGGGAAGCTTACCCTTGTCTTTTTGAAGAAGTTGGTTCACTTGGTTAGCTATTTGTCCCATTTGATTTTCGAGCCTAGCTATGGATTGAGTATGGGAGTGAACCATTTGGAGAGTAGGTTGCAAGGATGTCAAGAGATGCTTGTTGGAATCTATGATTTGCTTGTTTAATGATTCCATCATTTGCACATTTAATGATTCCATCATTTGCTTGTTTGCAGCCACTATCTCATCAATTGGATTCACAGGAGGTTGAGTGGAGACATTTGGATTGTATGGAGGTTGGTAGCTTGAAGAGGCTTGGAAAGGCCTACCTTGATATTGAGAAGAGGGCTGATTTTGAGGCCCTTGATTTTGAAGTTGGGAATTTTGTGGGGCTTGTTGCCTCCACGAAAAATTCGGATGGTCTCGCCAACCCGGATTGTAGGTGTTGGAATATGGATTGTTCCCGGGCCGTGAGAACATGGCATTAGCTTGCTCTTGGTTGGGATTGGGAAATTGCTCCGGTGTGGGGCAATCTTCCGAGAGATGAAATGGACTATTACATGAGCCACAAATCGAACTTGCCGAATTTTGAGACAATGAAGGAGGAAGATGTGGTGCCATCAATTGGTAGAATTTATGAGCTATGGCATCCACTTGATATGATTCCTCCCTTATAGATTTTGGTTGAGAAAGGTTGGTGTTCTTTGCATTGGTTGAGGCCGGAGTCCTGCGAGAATTATGTTGAAGTGAATTTTCGCTTAAATTCTCAAGTAGGGTCCAAGCCTCATCCGCATTCTTGGACATGAACATCCCACCACAAGAAGAATCAACCATGAATCTATGGGTTTCGGTCAAGCCGGCATAGAAAGCTTGCACTAATTGCCATTTTGGGATCAAATGATGAGGACATTTCCGAAGAAGATCTTGTAGCCTTTCCCAAGTCTCATGGAGTTGTTCTCCATCAATTTGAGAAAAGCTTAGAATGGAACGCCTCATTTGGTTGGTTTTACTCACCGGATAATACTTCTTAAGAAATTCTTGTTGCAATTGAGCCCAAGAAGTAATAGAGTTGGGAGCGAGGGAGTTTAACCAATACTTTGCCCTATCCTTTAGGGAGAATGGGAAAAGATGGAGATGGAGTGCATTGTCCGGAAAACCTCTCAACCGGATGGTCGAACAGATTTCAAGGAACTCATCAAGATGCTTATATGGATCTTCATTATCAAAGCCATGAAATGATGGAAGCATTTGGATGGTACTAGATTTGATCTCATATTGAGCTGCATCGATGTTTGGCATCACTATGTAAGATGGAGAAGCATAGGTGGTAGGGATGAAATGATCTCTAAGAGTCATTGGCTCGATATTAGGAATTTCAGCCCTTTCATTCCCCGGATTTCCTACGTTATACCCCATTATATTGAATTCAGTTTCAAGGTCCCTTATAAGAGTGGGTTCCCTAAGGTTCCGTCTAAGAGTTCTTTCAAGAGAGTTAATATCAATGGGAGAATCGATTGTGGGTAAGGAAAGTGACCTACGACCGAACATCAACAACAAAGCATATACTCAACAAAGCAATTCATCAACCACAACTCCACATACGATGTTCCCTTTCTCCTCAATTATCAAGACAGAAAATGTAAATGGCCACGACAAGGACCGATGCTTGAACACAAAATATAAACAAGATAAGAGCCTCGACAAGGGATTCACAACTAAATTAAACACATACACAATATTCACAATGCGAAACTAGAAGTCAAGAGACTTACCTGGGGTCCTCTAGACTTACAATTTGCTAGCAATCCCACGGCGAGCTCCGAGTCCCTAGAATCTTACAACACGAAGATGATCAAAACACACAAGGAATATTCACAAGACACAATATTCACAATCAAACTAAAATTAACCCTAAACTTTGGTTGCTAAACCGTTTGCAGTCCCCGGCAACGGCGCTAAAAATTGATCGGTTGGTCAATTAACATCAACCTTCGCAATAGCACGAATCATTGTAAAATAGGGCTATTGGTCGGGTAAGTCGAACCACTGGGACTACGCCAGTCTAAGGCAACCTAAGTGTTTAGAGTCATTCTTAGGATGATGAAGGGGTGTTCATAGACGTTTTGTTTGTTGTCACTTAAATTAGGAATTCAAAGTGCATAAAACACTAATTTGCAAGGAATTTAGGATGAAAAGATTAAGAAGAGGAGACTAGGGAAGTGAATCCGCCTCCATCCCTATACATATGCTAGATTAGACCTAAATTGGGGGAAAAACAACATATGATGGTCAAGACTTACATAGCAACACATGGTTGCCATATAAGTAATCAAGAGGTACATTAGGTCTCAAACAAGTATAATCCATCAAAAGATAAACATGCTTAGACTACCTAACTAAGGTGTAGCTTATACACATTTACTTAAATGAGAGACTATCAAGTTCTTGACAAAATGATAAAGCACATGGAGTTAGAGATTAAGCATACACCATCAAAGGATTTCCTAAGCAATGGTCTATCAAAGTCACCTATCAACATGCCATGAAACCATTTCATAACCTTGCTTCCACTCTCACCATGAAAAACTCAAGCAATATGATTACTCTAAGACATCATCTAAGACAAGATAATCAACTTAAAGAAATCATCCATACATGTATCAACATTCATTACAACAAATGAGGTGCTCTTGGTTATGAAAAGACTATAAAATATACATGGCAAATCCCCAAAATAGACTATCCTAGGACATGCTTACAAGGGTGGGACTTCATCACCTCCCTAGAGAAAGAGTTAGTTACCCATTGCTAAGCTAGAAGAAGGAAGAAGCTCCATCCAAGACTCCATTTTCGTGCTCTTACTGTAGCACTCAAGAACACCCTCCTCCTTGCTCTCTTCTCTCTCCTCTATCTTGCTAGAATATAGGATAATGATATGTGTGGCCTTCCTTGCCTTATCTACCACCAAAAGGTCACCAACCAACATCTCCAACCACTTCATTAAAGAGGAAAGCAAAGTGAAGAAACCAAGGTGCAAGTGGGCTGAAATGAGCCATTTCCGAAGGGCATTCTGCCCAAAATTCGAGCACTCTAAGCAAGGCCTCGAGCACTCGAATTTAGTGTAAAAATGACCATGCTTCACTTGCTCTGCCCAGACCTACTTTGGTTAAACAGCCATAACTTTGCACTCCGAACTCCGAATGATGAACCGTTTGAAGATTTAGAAAGCTAATTCAGAGCTCTAAATATTTCATGTTTTGGTGGAGATCCAATTCTCAAGGATGGTTCGTCGAAAATGAAGATCAAGGCAGAATTTCATTGCTGCCAGGCAGTTCTGCGCGCCTCTGGTAACAAGGCCATAACTCTCTGCTCCGAGCTCCGAATGACAAACTGTTTGAAGATTTGGAAAGCTGATTCAGAGCTCTAAATCTTTCATGTTATGAGGGAAGTCTAGTTCTCGAGTTTGGAAGGTCAAAATGGCAAGCAAAGTCCAGGTTCTACTGCTGCCAGAATTCAGCATTGGCACCTTTTGTTGCTCAAGATTCCACAAGGCCTTATTCTTGTTCCATTTTGGCCAATGAACCTGAAAATGCATAAAAACATAGAAATGAAGATAATCTACATAAATTAACATACAACGGACTATACTAATGCAATTTAGGGTGCTTGAATATATAATATTCGGTGTTTATCAGTCATTTTGATGCCTTAGGGATGACGTACATCTCTAGTGGCCACTTAGTTTCCTTCATCTCCGCGTTTCGGATCCGTTATCGGGTCATTCTTTTGGTTCATCACAGGACACACTGGGTTGAAAAATCTAGGGTCGTCACACACACATATGTGAAATGTCGATAACGCCCCTCACTTAAGATGAGAAAACCTGGAGAAGTTCCCAAGTCCGGAAATCGTCCCGACTTCTGAAAAATTCTAAAAATGATACCGTCACTTCTAATTGACTTAAAATGATTAAAAATATACTTTTAAAACCCTCGGCTTTAAAAAAATGACCAAAACGTCCTCTGAGGCCCGCGTGACATGCAAAACGAGGCAAGGATTAATATAATCCCCGAAAAAAATCAAATAAATTCTCAAAAATAAAAAATAGGGAAAATCGGTAACATTACAGATCACAAGTTTGTACTATGAGTGATAGTAATTTTTGAAAAGTGTCTTCATGTGAAATTTATTCAAATTCAAGATGTGTCATTGAAATTAACCCTAAAATTTATCGGTACGCAGTAGAGTGAGCTTTCTAATCAGTAGAAGCCACTGTTTATTCAGGCAAGCTATGAACGCACTTCTAAAAACGTAGCAATCTCACATGGTTGATGCTTTCTAATCGGATTTTAGCAATAAGTGCACTTACACACTTCATAATGGCATGGCTGAAATCCTTCCTTTCTGGTGCAAGCTGATCTCCAATTATTTTACCAATTATTGCTGTTGAATTATTACAATAGAGACAATTGGTACTCATTAATCATCTGTCATAAACCATGCAAAGCCTCTTCTTTAATTCCTTTTATTTTTCTTAATTTTCCTTCAAATTTTCAGAGCTTTTAATTAAATTCCATCTTATATAGAGCATTGAATTGCCGTTGTGAAAGAATTTAGGAACACTTATGATCGAATGCTTGGCAGAAAATGAATGTAGATAGACTTTAAATTTTAAAAATTAGTCCATAATTCAGAAACTTAAACCATAATAACAGCGCAAATATTTATGTATAGATATATATTCACACTTATACGTGATCGTTTTAAAATATTAAAAAAATAGAAAAATAGTATATCATTTGTTAACTGAGAGATGAAGAAAACTGCAGAACGATTATATTATTTTTCCAAAAAATTATATATATATATATATATATATATATATATATATATATATATTATGAAGGAAACAGAATGAAATCTGAAACTTTCTTTTTTATAATTCTTCAAGGAAAAAAAAAACTACAATTTTTTTTTTACTCTAATTTTCCCTTTTTCTTTTTCATTAGTTTTCGATCAACCAAAACGACGGAGGAATCCAAAAGATAAGAACTTTAGGAGCAAGCTGCTTCTGTATATACAATTAATTATGCCCTAGTGTGACATGTCACATTAAATATATGAAAAATATCTTACAAGTTGCAACAATGTGTCCATCAGTCACACATGTGTAACGCATTCCAATACGTTCTCATCATTAGGTTCTGATATTTTCGCCTCTTTGTTCTTCCCCCACAAAACGCTATAGAGCCCACCTATCAGCAACAATGCCCCACACACACTACCACAATATGAAAAAACGACTCTCAGTATCAATATCAATATCAATATCACAGTTAGAAGTGAAATTAGTGATGTATTAGCAGATAGTATATATATGGACCTTCCCAAGTAAAGAGTCTCCTTCCACAGGAATGCTGAAAAGATGGCTGTTATAATAAGTGCTAATGGAGTGAACATGGCTACGTATACAGGACCTTTCTTCTCTACAACCCACACTTGCAACCAGTAACTTATCCCAGTCACAATCACGCCCTGCAGCCATTTTCATTAGGTTATCAGTTCAAAACAAGCACAAAATCCGTAGATGTATTAATACTGAAAGTAGTATGTTTCTAAGCACATTCATGTTTATGTATGTCATAGAGTATACGGAATTAAGAAAGTGTATGTATAATTAGTGCATGTGTGCGCATGCACGCGTGCTTCTTGCATACATTCCATTGTACTAGGTTTTTTTTTCTTCTCAATTATGAAGTGATGGAGCATAATTTTTTAGCATAACCAATAAGACTATGCCAACGATGTAAATGTCAAGCTATTTGTTTAAAACAAATAGCTTGACATATATAAAACAAATAGATAATCATATATAAAACAAATAGATAATCCACTTTTGCTCTTATGGCTCAAACTATTTGTTTGTTAGATTTGAGTGTGACAAAATTATCCTCGTTGGTGTCAGGTTCTGAATCGTGTAGGAGATTGCTTTACACATGACAGAAGCACCGAAGGTAGAAGCCTGAGTGGAAATCTGAGCTAGGACAGAGGATTCTCTCCCTTGGAGAAGATGAGAAGATCCACTTAATCCCCTTTAGAGGTCTAATCGAGTCTATTTTAGATTGTGGTGGTGGTTGGTGCCTTTAATGGAACTTCTGTCTCCTATTTATACTGCCCACCAATTGGGTAAAAACTCTTTGTCACGAAGACGTCATCCTCTATTACCCAGTGGTTAAAAGGGGGGATTAGCAATGGGACACCTAATATATATAGGTGGCTCGAGGAGAGCAGTCACGCAAAATTCTAGATATTTTAGAAATTCTACATCAAACGAGGGTTTTGACTTCAACGAGTGACACTCCTCGTTATTTTAGAAATTCTAGATAATCATGAAGACGGTCAAAATTAGATCAGGGAATTTCAAGACTTAGAGGAATTCTTCATGTGACGAGTGAAGGCACCCACGAGCTTTATTTGGGATCCCCTAGTGCACTAACTTTACCTGTGGAGCACAGAAAGTTAGTGCTTGTGCACTATCTCGCCTTGGGGAGCACAAAAATAGAACAATCCAAATGGAGCCTTATTTGGGATCCCCTCGTGCACTAACTTTACCTGTGGAGCACATAAAGTCAGTGCACGTGCGCTATCCTCGGGGAGCACATAAATGGACCAATCCAAATGGAAGGGGCCTTTCCAAGGGTGAGGGAATATCAAGGCTTATCTGTAGAGAGGAAGTTCTTGATATGAGCTAAGGCGCCCTCGAGCTTTCTTAGGGATTCCCTCATGCGCTAACTTTACATGGAAAGAGGTCTTAAGGAACTAAGGGAGAGAATTGGTTTGAACCTAAAAAAGGAGTTCGAAATATTTGGAATGGGTCTCACATGTCAAACTATCGTTTTGTCTGCCTGATGAGTCACTGGCCTAAGTAAAGGGACTATTCTTTTCTTGACATCTAACTTTTTAGTTTCAAAAGGACACATCTTTGCCCTTATAGGCAAGTCATAACTGTTAATTTTATATACCAAGGCAAATACATATAACCGATGCAATGAAGGTTTCAGAGTAATTGTAACCTAATGTTTTGGACATGATTGAACAGTAAAGCCATGCAAGGGAATTCCATGGAAATTGAATGTCTTTGAGGATATATTTCTTCGCATTTAACATTTTTATCAATCAGAGAGGCAATGAAATTCCATGAAGCATTATCAAATGGGCACTAGACTTTCAGAGTTGTAGCTGTAGTTCTTATTTATTTCATTAGTGAATGCATTTACATTTAGCTTAGTCTCTGAGATATGGAAAATGGCTGATGAAATTACATACACAATAGGCCACAGAGAGAAGATGAACATCCCATCCAAGCTTCCACGATGATATGTTCCTCTCCATGGAAATTGCCCAAATAGCTGATTGTATGAGGCTGAAGAAGCACTGCAGAGTTGTAAGGCGTAGTTTCGCTGGATATTGCTTCACAACCATAGACTGAAAACAACGCCACTTTATTAGGCAATGTTCAACTTCTCATGAAAGCAAAGTGGGTGTGTGAGTTTCAACAAAAAAATATATATATAATAATTCAATTTAAGGTACGCAAACACCCATATCTACATGCAAGTATGTATGGATGTGTTTGCGTACATGTGTAAAGATAGAGAGAGATAAAAAAAAAAGTAGATGAACCTGCATAATTAGCCACAAAGACCATGCAGTGTTGGCCAAGAGCATGAAAAGAGAACCTTTTACCCATTCCACTTTGGAACTAGACCTTATGTCTGAAATTTCTTTGTGGGTTGCTGGGTACCAGTTCACAAACTTCACATGGGGTCCTTTGACAAAAGCAAATACCAATGCCCCAGAAACACCTACTACAGAACCCAACACCTTGGCCACTCCATGCCACTGCTTTATTGAAATGCTTTCCATCCTGAAATGTTTAGAACTTATTTTATTTATTTATTTTTAATTCTATAATGAAAGAAATTAAATAGTTGGTCCAAATATTTGTATTAATTCATTTTTATTTATTAAAGACTTTGACTGTGGCATGTAGATATTTTTTCATTTACCTGAAGAAAACAGCCATGACAAAGGTAATGGCAGGAATTGTGTTAGTGGTTGCAGCAGCAAATGTTGCAGATGTGTAATTCATTGCATAGTAGTATAGATTTAAACTCAAGGTAATCCTGAAATTTCACATGTGTAAAAGATTGTTAGAATAAAATTTTTGCGGTATTCAATACACTTGAATGTTGATAAAATATATATATGTATATATATATATATTAATTTATATACTTGAATGGTAGTCTCCAAAATCAAAGCATGGTAACAATAATCATACCAATTACATACCCAAATAGAGAAATTAAGAAGAGCTTCAATAGTAAGTAATATGATAGGGAAGCTGAAGTCTTCCTGCAGTTTAATTAGAGAAGAAAAAATCACAACCAAAAGAAACATATCATAGAGAGATAAAGAGTAACTAAAAAAAATTAAGAGTATTTGGGTAACCTCTCCACAAAGAAAGCAAATGGAGTTATAGCAAGTGTTGCAAAAGCTTGTCTATAGAAAACAAACACATAAGGGTTCATTCCTTTAGAAATTGCAGCCTTGGAGAACAACGCCATGCCTGCATATACAAATTGTATAAAGAGCACTGCAATGTAAGGTTTATTATGCTCCATAAGCATCACAAAACCTTGTAAACCCTTCATGTTAATTTTACTATCTTGGCCTCCTGTAGTGGTCAATTTATAGAGAAGCATTCAAATCCCCCTTGCATGAGCACTAGCTAGTTTCTCCCCCACCTATATGCTATTCATTTAACACAATCATATCAAGTGGGGTCAAACTTTTTTAGCCTCCATCACTAACAACAAAAATGTAATAGCAATTTTTTTGCCAATTGGCTACATGTGCATAGATGACCAGTTTCATTTAACTTTAGTCTAGATGTAACCAGTTTCATTTAACTTTAATCTAGGATCCATTTCTACTAAAGTATGTATCTATAGTTTATAACCACTAATGTAAAAACAGCTTGCATACCAGATTACAATCAAGAAAATCAAGAGCGTCGTAGCCTAACGATTTTTCTACTTTTTAAAATAAAATATTAGGTTTCAAATTTCTATAGAGTCAAATGGGTGGGTGAGTTTCTTTTCTCTGCCAAAAAAAAGTAAAGATAAAAACTTATTAGAATCAGATCCCTATACAATATCATAACAATTGTATTAAATAGTTTTAGAGGATACAACAAATGAGATTGAACTATCGTGCGACTATCCAAAGCACTCCTGATAAACAAAGTACATATCATTAATTATTAATTTTTATTTTTTTAACTCGGCAATAATTAGAGAGTTAGGATCATAGGATGGGGTCACTTAAGGCAGCCTTTTGTCATTAATTACTCTTTCATGTAACAAATCTTTATCACAAGCAACTGTAATCATTACTACTCTTTCATCTTTTAAATTATAAATTATTATAGACCGTCAACTAACTAACAAATTAATAGCATCTTCCAGCAGCCTTAACAAATAGTATCTTCCTCCCCAGCAGCATTAAACGTGTCTTCGCAAAACCAAGATACATAGGAGAAAATTAAGGACTTTGTGATTGAGTGGTATTTCATCTATCGTTCAAAGTGAATGGTAAGGTATTTCTAAAAAAACAAAGTGGGTGTGTGAGTGGGGTATGTGAGAGTTTCTTGGGAATGACAAAAAAAAGAAATATATATATATATATATACAACAAAAAGTTAATTATGTAGATTGTAGTGATGACATGTCGTCACCTTATTAAATACTATAATGTGTGAGATATAGTTTTGTAATTGGCATATTTTGGTAACAAAACAAGTCCTAGTCAAGTTATAATTTCAGTTACTATATCCGACTTAATTTCGACTACGGAATTCAGAGGTTGATCAGAAGAGGAAAGTATTGTTGATCATCGATGTGAGTCGTACGCAGCGGAATGTATTAAGGAAAGTTTTAGGTTTTGTAAAACAGATCTGTATCGTTATCAACTTTACATATTTTAGCAATTAAACAGTTAATCACATACAGATGAAATAAAGCAAAGTATAAAGTTAGAGATGACACCAGGATTTTAGCGAGGAAACCCCAGTTGATAAAATACGTCAACTGTTATGGGAAAAGCCTCGTGGACTGTGCAGTTCAAAGTAAACCAATCAACTATGCTTGAAATAAAATATACCGAACTTTGACTCTGGCTCACACCCTATCGTTCTACCAAACACCAACTGTTGATAATCCTCTGGCTTTGTGACTCCCCATCCAACAACAACTTGACCTCAAGCTTATGCTTGATATATGTAGAAGAGTATCAGATAGATCAGACAACACTTCACGAATGCTCCAACCCTTTCAAAGTGTGATTGCTTTTACTTCTGTTGTTTAATCGTCTGAATGATGCAGAAGAAGATCTGCTTTGTCTAATCGATGTTAATACGGCTGTATGATCATGACCAGGATTCGAACACCATAACTCTAAACTCACTATGCGTTTATATGTATGTGTTCTAGAAAGATGTCAGAAAAATTAACTCTAATTTTCTACAAAAATAATTTTCATAAGGCTTTGAATAATATTTGAATAATGATGTAAAAGCCATAAATAAACCTTGTATATGACATGGTTTATATAGAGGTTTGCAAAGTCCTATTCCTTCAAAAAATAGAGGAAATTTTGTGCATAGGACTTGGAAGGAAAGTTGGATCAAAAAGGTATTCAACAGAACACGAAAACTGGTAAACCTGGTGCAATTAGGACTTTTGGAACCGGTTCCCACATTTGGTACCGGTTCCTAAAGGATAGTGAAGAATTCGTCGAATTACAGCTTCTGGAACCGGTTCCCAAATCTTGGTACTAGTTCCCACTTGACAAAATCCACCTGGAACTTGGATTTTCTGTATTTTTGGAGCTCTGAAAATATAGCATGTATATCATTATGTCCTAAGTGGGAAACGATGTCCTAATGTAGTGTTCTTTCATTTTCGATGAATATCAGTACCTTTCTTTCATGTTCAACCTCTGAATTCCGCAGTCGATGTCAAGTCTGATATGGTAACTGAAATTACAACTCGACTAAGACTCGTTTTGTTACCGAAATATGCCAATTACATATATAGATCTCACAATCTCCCCCTTTGGCAATTTCGTGACAAAACCCTAAAAACAACTTATAATCTACCCAAAGCAGAAATTAAATTACAACTGTTAAATGAAACACGGAATTTGTTATCTCTGTTCTCTCTTCTTATTTTGGACAACATCTCACCTGATTTCCTGCACATAGATCAAGCAAAACTACTAGTGAAAGCTTAATAAACAAATTAAAAACTCCCCCTGAATAAAGTATCCAATTTTTTTTTTTTTTTTTAAAATATTCTCCCCCTTAATGTAACCTTGTAATATCTCTCCCTTTTTGGAGCAAATTGTCAAAGGAAACAGGTCATTAAGAGTAGAAATAGAGAAAATCAGTAATCAGTTTATTATATGTCAGCAGTCAAAAGATAATATTCAAAAATATCAATTCATGATAATATAAAAACTGAACAAAAAATGATGCATGTATGATATGAACATAGAATCAAGCATCAAGATCTTCTCTAGCAAATGGAACTGTAGTCATCAGAATGTCCTCATCACCATCATCACCATCATCAGTATCACTGTCATCCTCATCATCCTCTATATTAGCATCAGTCTCATTATCCTCATCTCCCTCATCCTCAGCTACAAGCAACGGATCTGGAGGGGCTGGTCTGTAGACATCTTCAGAAGTACTAGCAAGCCTCTATTCTATAAGAATTAGAACATCTTCTTAAAGATCAAGAACAACATCCATCAATGCCTTCTGATTCTGAAGAATCAGTGAGTAAAGAAGATTAGCATCAAAGGTAGTGAAAGTCCGCTCAGTCGGGAAGTGCTGAGTAACCTCAGGAAGTGATGACGAAGATACAGCTGAAGTCCTGTTAGCTTTTCTAGATGAATCTCTAGCAGACTTTGACTTGTTACAAGCCTTGACATCCATCTCAAATATGATCTCAATATGATAAGCTCGGGGTTGTAGAGGAATCTCAAAATAGCGGTACAAACCCATAATAACCATACGGAATAGAGAGGATTTTTTCTTTGTATTGCTCTTATAGTGAGCTACCATCAGTCAATAGATAGACGAATCAAGATGTATCTGTGCATCAATAGATATTACATATAATACCTCTACACAATCTGAAGACCTTCTTCCCAAAGTAGCCAAGATTAGATATAGCAAACAAATTCATAAATGCTGCCTCATCTGTGAGATAACGAGATGGTATATGATCTGGAGATCTTTGCGAATCAGGAATACACAGCTGATTGCAGATATCTTCTCATTTTTGCCCGGAATTCTCAAGTGGAAGAAGGTAGCCAGTGTTTGAAAAACTCTTGGGAATGCCAAGAACTTTACCAATCACATCGGTATCAACTATATAGTCTTTGCCAAATAGGGAAACCTCAAAATATCCTAAGTCATAAACTTTACGAATATTTGAGTAGAAGTAGTGGACTAAGCCTGGACTGTAGGAGCTTCCCATAGTGGTAAAGAACAACCACTTGTGCTTCTCAATATAGTCAACCAGTTTCTTCCTTGGACTGTCTCAAGCTTCTTCAAATTCACATTTCGTTCCCACTTAATTGGACCGTCCTTATACACTTTAGTGTATACTTGCCAAGCATGATCATTATAGAAATGTTCTCTGGTAAACTAAACCTTCCTAACCTCAGATATTGAAGGATACCCAGATGGTATCTCAGTAGATGGCGAGCTAGAGTGCACAGGAGAAGTGAGAGTCTCCCTTGGAGCGGTTGAACCCTCTTGTGGTTCCCGGATTGAAATTGTGGTTCACGTCTTTTGGGAGGTGGAGGAACCGCAATACCCTTGCCTTTGTCCTTCCGAGATAGTTTGGGAGGCATCTTGTGTTCGGAAAATTTTGGTTTGAAGCTCTGAAGTTCACTCGGTAATTTTGTCGAACACTTGGAGTGCGGTTCAACACTTGTTCTTAGACAAGTTTGTTTTGAATCTTCAGAACCCCCAAAAACAATCAATAATCAAGCACAATAACAATTCCGATGTATTCAATGTCAAACCCCTAAAACTCATCAGCAAAACTCAACTAAATCCTCTAAAATTTTTTAAACCCAATCCCCTCTTTCAACCTTCAAAACTTCTCTTCAACTCCTAATCAATCTTCAATATTAATCTTTAATTGGTTGATGTAATATTCAAACTTGCAATTTATGATGAGAATGATACAAGATTTGAAACAATATAGGAAGATATATATGATGTATATATGTAGAGAGAGAAAGCATAATATAGAGAAAGAAAAGCTGCGTGCAACACTACCCAATTAAAATGCCAAAATGGGTTATTTAAGTGTAATCTCGCTGCCAGGAACTGGGAGCCAAAGTGGGAACCAATTACCACTGGGCAGTGAGCAGTATGTGGTTTTGGACCACTGTTGAACCGGTACCAAATCTGTGGTACTAGTAGCTAAGCTCCAAAGACTTTGACTTAGCACCTTTACATTTTGAACTAGTAGATGGAGTGTGAACTGGTAGGAACATGGCAGAATGCTTTCTAGACTTGAAATTTTTTCCAGAAAAATTTTCTAATAGACTTTGTGAATCACTCATTAATCAAATCACACCAAAAAAAAAAAAAAAAAAAAAAAATTCTACAAACTAAAATAAAAAATCTTTT